ACTGAGGTTTCTGAAACACAACTGCCACTTTCTCGGACAGATTTTAAATACACTTTGGTAACTAGTGTCAACCAACATTGGCCTTATATCTGGAGTTCTTAGTCATTGACATTTAACAATCCTAAATCAAATGGTTATTTGTAAGTACGATGTATTGTAGAAATACATAAGGTTAACTATACTAAAGACACGTTTATTATTTCGCCTTAAGTATAAGTTAACTAAGTAAAAATGATAATCGAATTCTCTTCATGGGCGAATGAATGAAGGGAATCAGCTAAAATATATATAACGTATAGAAACCACTTACCGGTTCAAATCGTTTGAATTCACCGATACTACAAATGTAAAAACGGATAATCAGAATAAGTTCATAAAACCCGGTAGTAAAAATAAAAGAATATTGATATATAGTTATGAAATTTTCATCCCATCTGAATACATTGAAGAAGTTAGATAATTAGACGAAATCAAGAAATAAAGTTTTAGTACTGGATATTACACGAGTTATTAATCGATAACAAAGAATTCTTTATTGTTTCACTTGGAGGATAACTTCTCACGAAAATTGCAGATAAAGTTTGTTAACGAGTGTCAGTTAACATGAAACTTGGCATTGTAGTATCGTGGGAATAATCTCCAATTACCTACCGATTCAAACATGATATATTGCCTTACTGAGTTACTTAGCTTAGTGATCACATTAGAAATTGATCAAAAGAGTAGGGTTAACTATAAGAATTCGATAAACACCATAATCATCACTACTCAGTGATCGATTAGTGCATTGACAATTTTACAGTGTAATTCGACAGAAATCCTAAAATATCTTTTTTTAAAAAAAGTCTTAATGATCATTATTGAGTTTCAACTGAGATCTTGAAAGAAAACATACTACACCTTAGATTTCAGTTACTTCTTAAGATTCAAAATGACATTTTCTTGATGTTGATGTTAATACTATTACTGCTGATCTATTCACATATGTCTAAGCCAATGTTATCAAGTTAATAACTTCGTTAAATAGTTTCATGGAACTTCATACATAGAAATTTGCTGAATCTTGAAATCATGTTTAGACTTTACAATAAGTAACTTTATTGAAAGGTTTTTACGATATAAAAGTGGATAAAGAAGATTCAATGACAACGATTTATGTATGCAATATAAACTTAATAAATTTATATCCTGTCAATAAATAACAAGAATCACTTGTCTCATTGAGTTTTCAGACTATGACCGTGACCAAGATCCTAATGGTTAAGAAAATAATGTCAAGTCTATAGCGTTTAAGAAATACACTTCATGAGGAAATATCATTCCTTATATAGAGTTTCTAGTCATAGAGTTTACTGTCTACATTTAAGTATTCCTAAATTATTTGTATTAAAGGCATATCAAAACTGAGTGAATACACGATAGGAATTTACCAAATACCAAATATTTGATAACTGAGTTTATAAGAATTCAACTTGATGGTAAAGTGAGGGATTACTACTCAGAGAACAGCCCAGAGAACAAAACTCCACCAAAATCATCCACTTGAGCTACAAATCTTCTCCACCATCTCAAAGGGATTACTACGTTTATTTAGTTGATAATCTTACTCTTAATTGCTTCTTATCCATGTCTTACTACTATAATGATATTTCATACTTATGAATGTCAATAATCTTTATATATTTAACTCTAACAGGAATTGTATCTACATTAATACAATGAGATGTACAGTAAATGAGTTGATGGAAACTTTGGATATTAAATTTAGATCCAAGAAAAAACAATCAAACCTTAGTTGGTACTCATTCACATACTTGAAAAAAAAACAGGACTGAGATTTATATAATCTAACTTCTTATCTTTGTATGATTACGAAGAATTGATTGTCAGAATTTCCAAATTTACAGTTAAGAGCTTTCAAGTATTCAGTAGTTGAATACTATTAGTGAATTTTTGTGTTTAGGCATTTTGGCTACTGATTGTTTGCCAGTAGTAATGTTCAAATATAAAAACCGTGAATACCAAATGAATATTAGTTAAGGTTCATATTTAAGTAGTCACATCATTGATAATTAAGTGATAGACAATTCAAGTCAATTAATAGATATATATCTTATACCTGTCATGTGAATCGCTTATTACGGTAATTAGAGGGAATTCTTCTTTTTTGATCAAAGCATCACCATTCTGGAAAAAAATCATTGAATAGATACTAAGTTTAAAAATGTAAAACAAAAACGTGAAACGTCTCCTACAAAAATCATATAAACAAGTATTTCTGTGTGCACAAAGAGCATTCAATAAGCCCACATGTTAGAATGAATTTTCAAAAAAAACAAACTTAAAAAGAATGCACCAGCCAAAGAAATATTTCACGATGTAGTTCAATATTGAATGATCAATATCACATATTAAAATCAGACAAGGGTTTTGGTGGATATTATAGTAATTTAATGGTTGAATTCGTGAGTCGATTGAAGCTAGAACATCATGGAAAACTCGAACGTACTGTACAGCCGTTTCATCCTAGCATGAGACTCTTCAGTAGTGAGCATCCACGATCCCGCGCGCGGGTCTCGAATCCAGGACCTATGAGTCGCGCACAGACGATTAACATCTAGACCACTGAGCTGACCGGCATCCAACAGTGTTAATGTCTAATTTCAACTAATTCACGAAATTGAGCGACACATCCACCATTGTATTCAGTGAGTTACCATCTCACAACAGATCCGGTTAAACTCCACTGGCCAATGCTTCTCACTAGAACTCCATGCAATACCTCTTGGAGACCGTTACTAGTGAGCATATAATGATTATAATCAGAGAGGGGTTTTGTGTATATTATAGTAATTTTAATAGTTGAACTTATGAGTCAACTGAAGTTAGACCACCATGGAAAACCTGGAAGCTTTGGATGGCCGTTTCATTTTAGTATGAGACCCTTAGTAGTGCGCATCCACGATCCCGCCTCGCGAGATTCGAATCCAGGACTCACCAGTCTTGCGCTCGAGCGTCTAACCACTAGACCAATGAGCTGGCCGGGATCCAACGGCGTTAATGTCTATCTTCAATTCGAATTTTTCTTGGTGAAATTATTTAAAGTCAATGAAAATAGATAATTCATCGGTTTTTCGTACTTTCAAGGTGTTTTGAAATCTATTTTACACTACTTATATGTATTAATATTTCCTTTTTTCCATGTTATTATGTGTGTTGTTTACTAACAAAAATTTGTTCTTTCGGACAGGCTGTTTATTTTGAAACAGCTTTGTGGTGTCCTCTAAATTGTGAAGATATATTTTCATTGACTATACTTTTGACTTATCATCGCCGCCTTAATAACTGAGGACTTGAGTTCTGTCTTACAGATATATTTCACTATTTGATTTGAAGGTTTTTTGTGCAACTTAATCGGTGGGTTAGAATCTTTTAATGGATTTTAATAGATATGTAATTAGTAGTTTGTTTGTTTTCAGGCTTTAGGTTAATTAATTGCATGTATCATTATTTCACTTGACCAGTGGTTTATATTAGGTTCTAAGTATGATATTTCTTGTGTTTGGTGATGGATTTATAGTATTTTGTATTTGCGATACACAAAAAATCATGTTATCAAAAGCCGATATAACTTTCATTACTGAAATTCTTTAGGTAAACATATAGAATGTTTGTTGAATAAAGATAGTATGTCTGCTTCCTACTCAGAGATGACACAGTCTTCGATGTCCTATTATCATCTCACCACATTTATGATTCTCATTTGAAGTTGAATTAATAAAAACATTGAAACTCTAGCATTTAATTACTTTAAGATAGGAGTCTGTGTGATGTAGTATAAATGTAAACACTCAGTTCCCTTGTGACTTCATTTAGTCTTCTCATTTCTTTGAAGGCAAAAATTTGTTGGCGGTTTTTCTCCAAAGATAGATATGTAACCGTCTGTTTTCTTGGGTCCATCAGTGAGAAGAAATTAAAGCAATTTTTGTAAGCGCTATTCAGTTGTTAATATTTAATACTGAATCCTGATTATTCTTTATAGAGACATGTAGATCTTGAGCAGACGCCTCGATATTATCTTTTTTGTTACCAGCTTTAGTGTTTATGTATCCACTAAGGGTGCATATATGCTGATAAATATTGATTAAATACAGTCAAATAAATTAACAGAGAGTGTATAAAAACCCTCACAAATAAGTATTGCACCCTCTGGGAAAAACTATCACTTGTTCGAATTCAGTGGTTCGGTGAAAAATTCATTGGCTTTTGTAGCGATAGGTTTTGGGCTTGAGTTTCAGTGTGAAGACAAACTTGCTGATGAAGGAACATACAGCAGAGGAGTCCCAAATAGCATAGAATGCGTATCTTGGATCTCGCTGCTAGACACAATACCAACTTAAACAATACTAATATTGAATGATTGTAAGACTACAGGTCATAAATGTTCCTATTTTGTATACACCCATACTGTTGTACATATCATGAAGGACACAGTATTCGTTAATAATTATGTATAATTTACATAGGATAGTCTAATATAAATTTTACTGGTATTCATTCTTGTTGTAAGTTGATTAGGCTTGGATTGAGATGCTATATATTGTTCTTTTAGCGAATTCATTTACTCTAGCCACTACCAAATACAAGCAGTACCAATATATCCATTGAAAGATTGTTAGATTTGATCATATTCAAACTTTAACAACAAACAGTCAGTCAAACAACGTAGTAATTGGCAAGTATATATGGCGTTATCGGTTTCCATAATGACCGGTTCCATAGTTTATGGTAGCTCGTCAGATAATATTTATTACTATCAAATTATGGGTACAAGGTTATGGTTTAGATGGAAATACTAACGTCATTGTATGTGGATTCAACAGACTTATTCCAAATAGAATTGTATTAGCTATCACGACTGAAAATGCAGTCAAAACATTACCTTAGTCATAGGTAACTTTAGAGAATTAGCTACATTAGTTGATTTTTTTCTTATTTTCGTGCTTATTGAAGATGAATAACCAGTCATATCTATGACTTTAAAAGAATACATATATCACCAAGGGTTTCAACTCTTAAAGCTCAGTACAATAGAGAAATATATTACAATTGATTTATTTCGACTACAAAGTTAGTGTTAGGTTGGGGAATTCCGACTAGATCAAATGTAAATCCAGAGTTACGTGGTACATAAGCGATAAGTTTCAGCTGGCTTTTTTTCGGGTGATTTCTTTATCAAGTTAACATCATCATTCAAATCTCCATATTTGAGTTGGTTCAGTAGTCTGTTTATACAAATGAGTTGCAAATATGCGAATTAGGCTTTTAGCTATAAAACTCATTTTGTTTTATTGATTATTTCTTACATACCAAGTTGGTAAAAAGCTAGGAAATGGTATGATGACGAGATCGGGCTGCAGAATACAACAGTAAACTGGTTACAAGGTTATAAAAAAATCATGCGATTTAGTTTTTACTCATCAATCAAATGGTTTTTGAATAAAATCACATAAGAATATTGTCTTGCAATGACACTTCAGTAAAAGCCATCACATTCGTTATCCTTTGTAGGTATGTCAAATCGAGTAATATTTTTTGAGAATTCTCACCTATAATGTGACCAGTTAACAATTGATTTACACTACTATTATTAAGCTGTAATAAATGATCAATTATGAGGTAATTTGAAAATGTAACTGCATGAAAGGTGATGTATTTTACATAGAACACAAGCTTACATCACGAACATTTTGAGAAGTATTTACTGTTGATTGAATTGAATCAATTTTTACCATATCGATATTGTCGTTCATATTCGATTTTTCCAAGGGACAATCGAATTTAGCGAAGTGATCTAAACAATGAATAGTTAAATCATGATTTCAAAGAAAAACATGGATAGATAGATAGATAGATAGTAATTAAATAAATGTTTATGATCAATGTCAACTTGACTATTACACATATACAATCTGTAGGATAGAGGTCATAACTTACATAAATTACACAAGTTATCTAATGACTGATCGTTATGAAACTACTGGGATTACATAATTCTTTAGTTACTTAAAAATGTCTGACAAACAATTGAGATTCATTTAACTTGTCATGTGGAACAAATGAATTGAGGCATATTATATACAGTTATTTGATTCATTTTAAGAAGTTATGAAGGAATGTTCTTCCGGATGAGACCATTTTTGTTGTCGTTGAGAAAATAAACAATTTATAACTAAATTAGAAGCAAAAATCGAGTTACCGAAAAATGTCAGTCAGAATCATTTGAATTCCTTGGAATCGAATCAAATGCTTTCTCAAGCTGACAGTTGCGGAAAATACTTCAAGAAAACATACTCAACTATAATTGATTAGAATAGAAAAGGTAGTTAATTAATCCTTCTTAAATAATGTAATCAGTATAAATTATTCAGCTAGTCAGTAGCAACGTAGAACTTCGTACATACGTACATCAGTTCGAGTAGCCATACCACATTATCACACAGATACAATTGTCCATTCAAATCCCATAGTGGTAGAGGTAGAAAAAGTATAAGTAGTATTAGGAAACATTAGGGTTTAAAAATGTTATTCAATGAGTATAATCGAGTGAAATAGATTTGGAAAAAGAAAAAAACGGACATGAAGAACTCAGAAGAATAGAATTTGGGAGAACACAAAGAGTGGATGCACCCGCGTCATTGAAAACGATTTTGAGCCATGTCATTCAAGGTCCCTAACCGTCGGTTGCTATCATCTGGCCGATCTCAACCAGGTAGTCTACACCTACCAACATGACTCAGTCCACTTGTCAGTAACTTCATGGATCTGTGCCATGCTTTCGTCTGACTGCCCCTAGCTTTCTTCCAACCCACTCCTGCACCATAAAACATAGCACGTCGAGGCAATCGGTAGTTGGGCATACGTAACACTTGTCTCAGCCATCTCAACTGATGAAGTTTCACTACTTTATCAATTGATTATGAATGCCTTAGAAAGCATTCAAGTTGCTTCTCCTAATGAAAAGGAAACTAAAGTCAGATTACAGAAATTCTTTAGAAAAATGTGATTACGATATGAATAAAACGAAGGTTAGTTAATGTTTACCTTGCATTGATAAAACACTTGATGTAATAGTTCGACCATGACAATTCCATGCACGGCAACTATAGGTGGCTATGTCTTCTGAACTGGATGGTCGATTAAGACGTAGTGTAATCTTTCTTGTATAACTGTTTGATCGATCTGATTTGTTTGAGTCAAATAATGATGTTGTGACAGTGTATTTTTGCGTTAAAGAACTCAATGTAGATAGTGGGTCATTAGGTTCGATTTTGAGAAAAGGCATTATAACCACTGGGATAGGTACTGAATTTCGGTATAATAAACATCTTGGTATAGGATTGCCTGTCACTATACATGTCATTTCAATAAAAGGATCACTAGTAGCACTGCTCATTGGTTGTACTATAAGAGGTTCAATAAATTCTGGTGAACATTGTGGACTGCCTGATGATTGATTGGATTCTGAATTTTTTAAAATAACGAGATATCAAATGAAATTTATAGTTTATTCAGCATGTAAGCAGTAAAATAAACTTCATCATAAACTAGTATTGTTTTAACAAACAATATGACTTCTTAGACGCTATTTTTGATTCTAACTTCTCTGTGCAATATGATTTAATTGTGAAACTTTTATTATCGTTCTGTGCAGGAAAATCCCTGTAAACCTAACTTAGATTTGAGTCTATTTAGAATTGTTGCAAATGTTTTAAATCCTTTAGTCCCACTGATCTGATTTGTAAATGATTGTTTTTGTATGGGTTCGTTGTTGCTATATCCTTCAATATTCCTGTCATTAACCAGCCAACTCATAGAAATAACAATAACAAAAGCATTTAGGCTAAATATATATGTATTTTCTACGTTATTTAACCTTAGTCGAGATTATACATGTATTCATGTAAAGAATATTCACAAAGAATGATAATTTATTGTATACGAGGAACACAAGAGGTTTTACAGAAGTTCTGATCATTTACAATCACTTTACGAGTTGTGTTTTCATTAATATGTTTCAGTGATATAGTTCAATGTATTTCATGACTGCCAGCTCAGACTTCTGAGTCACTATTTTCCAAAATATGCATTTACTTTCATAGGTGTTACTGTTTGTGGATTTGTACTCACTTATGACTGCCAGCCGCATCCCCTTGTACATCTTAATAAAGTGTTTACTACCTATCGCAAATCTGATTATTAAGAAAGCCTAAAGTACTTCTAAGTTAGTTTATTTATTTTCTGTCTTTTCTGTTGAGTGTGAAAACGAGAAATGGTTACGATAGATTACATACATGCAATGTAGTGCCATGGAAATAAGACTGACCACAAATGTTTACAATTGGATAATAATAGCAGAATATCCACTACTTAAATGATTATAAAATGGGAAATTCAGTACGATACAGCATACTTTGCATTGAGAATTCTTTGATGCGATCAGACATACGGTACTGAGTAGAGCAATTGTTATCATAATTACTACATTGCCTTGAGTAATGGATTATTTCACCTTACAGGTCCATTGTTATAGGCGAATCAAAGAACTGATAAAGTTAACTATCAGTAATTAGTCATTTTCTTGAGTACATACATGATGTCGAAATAAATTGAAATTCTTAATCTTTTTCTATATCTGACTGCTTTCATTGCCATTATGAATCAAAAAGATGGATTTGGCCGCTTTAGTGAAATATTTCCAGTACTGTTTTTTTGTACGTAATAACTGTCGACTGTTTATCCTATCATTAACAAAGTATAAATCTGAACTTCTAGTCTTCATATCATATACTTGGAATATCGAATTTCTAGTTTACTACTAGATTCCATAGGTTTTAACAAGTTTAAACCCTACAAAAATCAAAACGATAATAAAGCAAATGATCGTTCAAACGTATTCAGAATGTTTATTGGCTTATTTAGGCTTCTCAAACACTCTTTAAAAGAACCATATAAATAAAGTCAGTTATAAGATTTGCCTGAGATCAATTTGAGTAATGTTGATGGGTAATATATATTGTAGAGTTAATCGTTTATCAATTAATAACTTAGATATATAACTAACAACATGTATGTGAATTGATACTGAAAATAAAATATTTTTGTCTTTAAGGAACAGAGTTTGTTTTACCTAGCTTAACTCCTCCTGGGGTCCCTCTGGGGCTAATGACGGTCCCAAGCCCGGATGAAGGGAGAGGGTTGGGCATGATGTTTGCGACCCAATCCCGTAGAAAACTAACTCGCTAAACAAACGCTAACCAGGAAAGTTAATTCAAACCATCTAAACACTGCCCTGGGAGTTAGAAGGTTTTCATTTAGAAGAGTTATGACGCCTCATAGTAAAAGCCGAGTTCGTTTGGAATTCACGAGGCTGACACCCCTTTTGAGAATCAGAGCAACCATTAATTTAGATACATGGAATGCTCTTACAATGTGGGAGACTGGGAGAGTCATCGTAATTGCTGCAGCTTAACAAATTGTACTCTTACTACAAGGTAAATATCGTGTTTGTTTGTTTATTTTTCTTCTAAATTGTACAAATAAAAATAATTAACTTACTTATTACTTGTAGTATAAATTCCTTCTCTTCGGTTGATGATATACCATCTGTATTCGATGGATATTGATTTGATGCAAAATATCTTCCAGTATCATCAGGTTTACTTGCCCATATGATGAGATGATGTTGTAGGTAGATGATTTCATTACCACTATTATTATTATTATTATTGACATTAGTATTTGATTCAGATTCTAATAATTTACATTTCCATTGATTCAACTTTTGTTTTGTTTCATTTGTAATCAAACCTGAATTTGACAAAACAAATGGATGTTTTGGATATTGATGATTTAATTGTTGATGTTGTTTGAATGACATATGAATTGCACCAGTGATAACATGTTCAATACGAAAATCAAGTTTGACTGGGACTCGTTGATTTTTATGGTTTAATTTATACCACTGAAGTTCTAAAATGTTTGAGGGGGGGGGTGGGGTAGAAGAGGGATATGAAAAAGGGTAAAACAATATAGAGGGAATAATAACCTGATATAAAATCATAGTAGTAATAGAGTATCCTAGTGATTCAATCAGTAACAACTAAACATTTGATTAGAATTTCACATGAAACTTAATATTGGAAATCATTATAGAATGCTGAATCCATTTTGAATCGATAGGTAAATGTTTGTTTTACTGTGATATAATAAAAAATGATACACGATATGTATACTTTAGGCAATGTGATGAGGATCCATTTCTTTCTTCATTTGCTCAATGTATACTCTTAATTAAATAATATCATTAGTAATTCATTGAATAATAGCTAATCTAATATGAAAGGAATCTTAAGTTTAGTTGCCTCCTTATTAAGAATTAAGTATTAATCTTGGAGAACTCATAAGCTATGCAAATCTACCATAGAAGATGTGGTGACTTATTTTTGGGTTTATCAGCTTACAAGTTTTCATTACATAGAAAGTTTGATGTGTTATAATTATCATTAATATACTTCTGAAATGAATTAAGAAATACCAATCGATTGACAATATGATATGATACAGTGTAGCCGAGTATTGTTTGATCATAAGAATGAATTATTGATGAAAGCCATAAATTGAATAGAAAACAATAGATAATGTAGCTGCTTGGGATAAAAGTCTTTTTCTCATAAAATCACATACTTATGAATAAGATATTTAGCACAGGAGCAAAGATGAGGAGTTTTAAAGGAAAGAATTTCATAATTCTAATGAGATGAACATTTGACTATTAGACTTAATTCTCACTTGACATATCTCGAGTTGATCATTATATTAGTTTCACTTTTGAACATCATTTAGGCTATGCAGCATAGTATAGGTCATTGAGGATGTGCTGTTTTCAGTTGACGTGTATTGGCTAAACAATACTTTACTTGATCACTTAATTGTGGTCTTACAAAAGAATTTAAGAAAAGTTTCGAAGATTTTTAAAAAATTTTTTATGTATTAATACTCACCGCATTGTTCATTATATGGTAAAGAATATTCCATTCGAATTGGAAAACCTTCTGTAACATGGAGTTCATCTTTTTGATTTGATTGATTCATGAAATTGTAAGATGATTTATTGAAATTTGTATTAGTTACTATGGGATTAGATGTTTGAAATGAAAACTTTTTAACAGTCTCCTAAATTGAAATAAAGAAAGAAAGAAAAAAAAACAACCCAGTAATTATGGATGAGAGAATTGAATTGTATAAAAAAATTATAGATAGAATAAAAAAGAGCTGACATGGATAGAATTAAAATAAAAATAAACACAGACTTAACATTGTTCAGAAAGGATTTTGTGGATATTATAGTAATTTTAATAGTTGAGATCATGAATCATTTGAATCTAGATCACCATGGAAAACCTGAAAGCACTGGATATCCGTTTCATCCTATTGTGGGACTCCTCAATAGTGTGCATCCACGATCCCATCCCGCGAGATTCAAACCAAGGACGTATTAGTCTCACGTGCAAACGATTAAAATCTAAACTACTGAGCTGACCGGCATCCGACGGTGTTAATGTTTAACTTCAACCAATTCAAGAAATTGAGAGACACATCCAACAATGTCATCAGTGAGTTACTATCTTATAACAGACCAGGTTGAACTGCAATGGTCATTGTTTCTCACTAGAAACTCCATGCAATACCTCTTGGAGACCGTCACTAGTGAGCATATAATGATTATAATCAGAGAAGGGTTTTGTGGCCGTCAAATTCTTCCAGGTTTTCCATGGTGGTCTAGCTTCAATTGACTCATGATCTCATCTATTTAAATAAACACTATTCTGTTGCAGAGTTGGTATGATCTTTTTCTTTTGATTAATTTTCACGGTTAAAATAACATTACCGATTGTGTATAATAAGTAACTTGTTAACTGACTCCTCATCAATAGGATTAATAGGGTAGGTTAGTAAACGAAGAAAAGGGGGAGGGTTTGTGGTTAATTTCCTTTAGACAAATCCTTAACGTCAACAATAATTTTTACATTTTTGTATTGCTGTTGTTGTTGTGTCAAGTTCGTATCTTTTTGAAAATTGGTAAATATTTACAATGAATCAGATGATCTCATGGAGATTATCTTTGATGATATCCACATATTATAAACTGAATGATGCATTAAGGAAAATAAAGCTTATAAACTGAAAAACTTCATATCTAGATTGAAAAGTGTTATGAACTCCAGTGTTTATGTTCTTTGAATTTTACTAATCACGTTTGTGATGTAAGGATTGAAGTTGATTTTAAACATATATGTATATTCAACAAAGTTGAGATAGTGGAGAAGATTTGTAGTTTAGGTGGATGATTTAGATGGAGTTTTGTTCTCTAATCTAGATAGTTTGTTCATAAAGCTTTCATTATTCATGTGAACTACATCATTATTACAAACCATCCATCTAAGACAACAAAACTTTATCTAAATTTAATAAAGTATTTTTATTTGTGTTGGTCAAACGACAATATGAGATGACAATCTCATATTTAGTTCGAAGGTAGAAACTTTAACTCTTACTGAGTGTATGACCTACTTGAGTTGAAATAGAAATGTTCATATTTTCAATCATTATCAATTGTAGATAATGTATAATCATGAATTATGTCTAAGATTATTTGGAAATTATTATTTCATTTTCGACTATTGTTAGTAATAAGTAACTCACTTGTTTCGTAGAATTAATGTCGGAATAGAGCTGAAAAGAATTAAGAAAATTCATCAACAAATCATTAAACATACATATCCTCGTGAATATTTTATGCAATGAAATAAAGAGTGACTAATAAATTGGATGAATTAGATTGACAGTAACATTATACTACATGAAATAAGTTGAAGTAGTCGAACGCGTTGACAACTTCACTGATCTTGGAAGTCTGATCAGCCCTAATGGGTTGGTGTCTGACGAAATCTCAACACGGATTCGAAAAGCTCGCTTGGCTTTTGCCAACTTACGTCACCTATGGCGAAGGCGAGATATCCGTCTATCAATAAAAGGACGAGTATACTGCGCGGCAGTCCGTTCTGTTTTAATTTGCGGCTACGAAACGTGGCCATTAAGAGTAGAAGATACTCGTAAGCTACTAGTATTTGACCACAGATGACTTAGAAATGTTGCTGGCGTCTGCTGGGATCACCGGGTAAGTAATAGTGAGGTTAGATGCAGGGTATTAGGGAATGATGGTAAATCAGTCGATGAGGTTATGAATCTTCATCGACTGAGATGGTTGGGCCACGTGTTACGTATGCCTGAACACCGATTACCACGACGTGCAATGCTAATCGGTGTTGGAGATGGTTGGAAGAAAGTTAGGGGCGGCCAAACCAAGACGTGGCATCAGTGCTTGAAGTCACTAACTTCTAGTCTGAGCCATGTTAGTAGATGCAGACTACTTGGTTGGGGTCCGCGTGACTTTCGTAACCAATGGTTGGAGACTCTTGGTGACATGGCTCAGAATCGATCACAATGGCGTCGGTGTATACACTCCCTGTCTTCCCTTAAACTGTGAGATTAAAATCACTTCATATCTTTCATTCTACTAACTAATTCTTCCTTCGTGTACTATATCCTTATTGCAATCTTTCTTTTATACATTACCGTCACTGAATTAACTACATTTATGAATCCGGTGTTCATCTTGTTGTGTTAATGAGGTATGGCAACTTGGACCGATGCACATATGTGCCTGGTTCTACGTTGTAGCTGACTGACTGACTGGCATGAAACAAGTAGTGATCATGCATGATATAGTCAGATTTCAAATTCATTGGATTGCAAATAGTCTACTAAAGTTCAAATCCTATAATTATTTATGTTTTGAATTAGTTTTTTTAATCAGGTTCACACAATCTTGATAAAACTGTGTATATGACTAGTGTAACTATGCTCAATAAAACAACTCTTTTTTAATGTCCAGTCATTCTACCTTTTAATGTTTATTCGATAGCCGAATTTTCTTTAGATAATCATTATTTAACCATATTGTTTATACCAACTTAAGGGTTGGTTATTGATGCATATGACACATACAATTTTCATTTCGATATAACTGTAGTCGCTACTCAGAATTCCTCTGTAAGTTTGGTTGCCAGAACGTTACTAAATTTTCAGATCCGTAATTAGTTACCAATTGGCACTTATTAATGAGAACTTAAAATTTTTTGAAATTGATATTTAAAGCTTCACTTAATCAGTCATTGTTACCATGTGTACGTGTTTCAATAAAGATTTATGTTACATGTCTTAGTATATTTGGTATGTGACATACAGTGGAATGATAACATACGTTTTGTCTTATTTGGGACTTGTCTGATAAATGTACCTTCAACCCACCTTTAATAATTACATTGAGAGTCGGACCCATTTCGTTTTTAATTTAAGTTCTCAGTATTAATAAGGAATAACTGAAACGTTATGTATATTAAGTGCTTAGATATTATCTTACATTGATGTATGTAAGTCATCAATCATAGGTCCTTGAACCAGAGATAGATAAAACAATGTTATGTCTAATATCAAGTGATTAACAGCTGACTGTAAAAAGCGGAATTCTGTTCCGTCATTGAACTTTTCACTTATTTAGTCCCATTGACATAAAGAAGTGTGATTTATTCAAATTATTAAAATCCCACTTGCTTATCACGATAATTTAGTGTTGATGAGTTTTGTTAGCTATATAGCTTAATTAAGGTATCTTTGTCGTTTTAGAAAACATAACCAGGACCAACAATGAGCTTCCTAGTTATTCCATGAGCGTCAGATCATTCCTCTTTGTTGACCCTCATTACGATTTGTTGTCTTAGGAGGTTTCGTTATCTTCATTTATACTTAAATTTACTATTTAATTTAGGCGAAGCGTGATATTGTTGTTCAGGGAGACAAAAAAGGACTTTGAAACTAAACCATCTGTCTTAGTGAATTCATCAACACCAAAAGCGTTTTAGTTTAACTGGTTGTTTGATAGGTGAAATAAACAGGATTATTTTGTTATCTATCGTTTATATAAGAGTAGTATGCTCAAAAGTTTTTGTTGTGATGGATAAATTAACTTTTTGAAATTGTCTAAATAATTTAAAAATCTATCTTATTTTAAGCATAGATGGATGGTGGCTATCAGTGGAATGCAGGACGCACGTTTCGTCCTGTTCTGTACTCGTCAGCTGAGTGTACGTGCTTGTGTCTAAAGGCAATATTCAGGCAATCCGCACAGGATGCACAAATGTCAATAAGAGACTGATCAATTGCAGTCCCAAAAAATCAATAGAAAGATGCAAACAAACAATACAAAATGAATTTTTACTTGCATATGGTTTGAAGACAATTTTCCTTCAAGTTGTAATGTCATTCGCTAAACTAATAAGAATCAGGAGTCCCTTGATGAGTTTTCCAACCTTGTTTGGCATTAGCGATGATGACGTTAGATAGAGATCGTACGATCATAAAAATTGTCTGGGGTTGAGAGTATATACCACATAATTCACTATTAGTCGATAGGATTCGATCTTCAATAAGAAGGACCTGACGCACAAGATAATGATCACCACCCAGTGATCAACCAATTGTAAATACATCTCAGTCCTACAGGAGGCCATTCACGGCCCGGATAGCCCAGTGGTAACGTTTCTGACTGTGAAGCAAGGTGAGCAGCAGTTCCCTGAAGATTACAGGTACACCATGCTGACGAGTGCCAAGCAGAACGAAATCAAGGTTCAGGGTTTCCTGTCGACTACCTTCAACCATAATCTTATCTCACTATTATTATTATACACTGACAAATGGCCTAGAGCAGCTGAATCTTTTGAAAATTTAAATTTAAATGCAAATATTAGATGTGAATATTTTTATAGTAAATATTTTCCATTTAAACACATCGTTTTTTATATCAGAAGGGGTTTGCGGATATTATAATAATTTCAGTGGTTGAGATCATGAGTCAATTGAAGCTAGATCACTATGGAAAACCTGGAAGCATTGGACGGTCGTTTCGTCCTATTGTGGGACTTCTCAGCAGTGTGCACTCACAATCCCGCCTCGCGATATTGGAATACAGGACCTATCAGTCTCGTGCGCGAGCGCTTAACCTCTAGACCTCTGAGCTGGCCGGCATCCAACAGTGTTAATTTTTTTATTGTACGAAACAATTTATGTTTTATTGATGAGTCTTTTAGTCTTTTAACATTTTTTCCTCTGGCAGAATCCTATGTCTATCAATTCAGCTTTTTTGGTAAGTTATTATTCACCCTACTCTATTCATATTTACTTTGCTAATTGATCATAACCTAAATAATTCATAAAATATTCTTCTGTAGTCACAGTTCATAATAAAAATTGTTATTATAAAGAAAATCTCATAAATACTTTATTGAAAAGAATTTCAGCCAATCGTCCTTCTACACCATCACGATCAACCATTGTAACAGATTCTTTATCATCTTCACCAGCCAAACTGTTTGTATCTGTAACACCCTAACCAAGTTAAATCGATAGTAATAATAATAATAATAATAAAATTTTGTCTTAAAAATGTGATTAAATTTTATATGGTTAAGTAAGATAGCGCATTGTAATTTCATTTTGAACTTAGTTTTTATGCAACAAATTTTGTACATGTTAGGAGATCTAGAAAACTCCTTGAAAAAAGCCAACAAGGGCTCTGAAAACACTGAGAAGCATCTCATCCAATAGGCGTTCATTAGAAGTTTTGCCAAAAAAAATCAAGAAACTGAAAAGTCACATGTTGAGTTTCTTATTGGGTGATTACTTATGCTGCTACTGTGTTTAGTAGCATTTCAGAATTTTCGCGAAACTCAAGGATAACTAAAATACTATAAAAACCCTAGATTTTCTGTGCATAAACGAGCCTTTGGAGTAGAGCGTTTTCTTGTGTTCAAGTCGCTGTGTAGATTGTGCCTGGGGGTTACTAGAAGAGCTTAGGAACTAAATGTAGCGTTTAATTAGAAAGACTTATCGTACATAAATATAAAATGAAATATTATCACAACCAGATTGTTTTACTTCGTTGCGAATCTCTTCATTTTCAGCTTCTTTTCAACGAAATGCTTCTTTTCGTTACGTTCCGCTTATCTTCCTTGTTGTTGTCGATTGTTTGTCTGGATCAGTTAGTGTATGAAATATACGCATTCAAAATTTAATCTCGTATTCGACTCATTATATCCCATTATTCTTCAACGTGAATTAAGTCGATAAAAATATACGAGGATTGGTGGGATGTATAATTTGATAACAATCAGCAAATGATTTAACTAGAGTCAGATATCGGGTCACTAAAACGTGTTTCATCAATATAAAAACTCCCTACTGTGGGAGAGAACAACCCAGATCACAGCGAAGGAAGAAACCAGAAAGAAGAGCTGGACGTGGATAGGAAAGCACCCAACTGCACCACAAGACAAGCCCTCACTTGGAATCCTCAAAGTCAAAGCAAGAGAGGAAGACCAAAGAACAGATTACGCCAAGAATTGGAGACAGAAGTGAGAAGAATGAACAAAAGTTGGACAGAACTAGAAAGGAAGGCCCAGAACAGAGTGGGTAGAAGAATGCTGGTCGGCGACCTACGCCCTATTGGGAGTAATAGGAGTAAGTAAAGTAAGTAAGTGATCCATTTATCAGGATCACATAGATTCACAAAATCGAAAATAAGTTCCATATTTTGGAAAAACTAAATAAAATATTTTGATGCATTACTTAGTAACTAGAAAATCAACACGTCATCGCCGTGATACACAGTATTGAACTCAAGTTTCCATAAGTGTACATAGATGAAAAAGTGAACCTGAGGATACATCATAACATTTGTTCAATATTACTTTCAGCAAGGATAGTAAAATTAAGTATCATAATATGCCCGAATACTAGAAGTAGAAATCATGGTCTTTCAGTTAATGCTTTATTTGAGTATGCATGTCATATTCATTTTCGTAAATGCATTAAGCTCAACTTGATAAATATATCCAAGAGTTTTTTCTAAGGGTATTCCATTTTTAAAAAGTTGATATCTGGACACTAGAACATATACCGTTACATTAATCAGTAATGCAATAAGTCTTCATCATAGTCACTTCTGGGATGATCATAAAAACTGGATGGCTCATAAAAGCCAATTCATAAAAACAGATTGTCAAAATTTTGGAATCTGGTTCCAGAGAGGAAGCAAAACTTAACAGCGTATGATGATACTGTCCAGGTCACTGCGTTTTTTCTCAAGGTCTTTAGTCCATTTTATGGTTCTTAAAGAGAACGGTTTTCAACAAAAAGAACTAATTTCTTTAGGCTTGAGTTTGTTTAGAATTTGAGTTCTTTACCACCATTATTTATATTTCTTATGAATGATTTCTCACAGTTTTTGTAATATTTATCTTGAAATGGTTATAATACACCAATCAGGGAACCAGATATATCAGAACAATTTTATTTTTTGTATAACATAAGATTGTTTAATATTCAGTTAATTAGTAATTAAGCAGTTTGGTTGCCTCCAAATACCCTGGTATGGCCGAGAGTGGGGAGAGTCAAGTCTCCCTCTAGAAATGCTCTCAAATGGCCATGTGCATGCAACCACTGTCAGGGAAGTCCTACTCACTGCCTTCTCGCACCATGGATGCTGTTTACAAAATTGAGAAGATGCAAAGCTAATCTCTGACTCTTTAACTGGGTTAATGGACACTGAGAGTCCACCTAAGGGGGTTGGAAAATCCTGTTTCGAAACCAGTGGTGCACATGGGCTCCAATATCCTGAGGGAACAAATGGTGTATGAACTTATTGTTGGTCACGGGCTAACATGGGATCGCATCTCCCTACGTTACTCCATTGCCTTGTGGATCAAATCTTAAGTTGAAGGCTCCGGGTGTGGCCTTCTAAGAAAACCATCTGTTTTGGTTTTGGAACCCGGGCAGTATCACAGCCCTCACACAAATGGAATGATTTATATGGCACATATCTATTTGGTGCATCCTTGTACCAAGGTTTGTGTATTTAAATAAGTAAATAAAAGTAGTATGGTTGAAAGTTTAAGTAAAAAATAAAGAGTAAGGAACAAAGAGTATTATCTTTTTTAAATCAGATTAAAAACGTACCTTCACACTATATCCAACTATTCGACCAATTTCACCTTCTAAAGTATCCATTACGTATGGAGTAATATTCTTAGTGTTCATACCTTGACTCATTCGTTCCTCTAGTATATTACATTTAATATAGGAGAGTAGATAGAAAATAAAGCATGATGAAATATTAAGCATTACTTGTTGAAATATCAGTAATTTTAATAGTATTAACTTTCTCATTAGTTTCTAAGTGATCAAAACGGAATATTCAGTGAATTAATAATAAAACTATTGATGATTATTTGTGACAAATGTAGCACTTGTATCTGTGTATCTATCAAGGAAATATTTGTAGCTTAGTAAGATATTTTTAGTGATTAGTTAAATCTTCTGCACTGACTGACTTAATTGTAAAGATTTCATTGCCTTTCTATACAATAATTAGGATCTCAGAATTTTATCTTGGATACTAATAACATTCTGTAGATCACGTCACAATGTGAACGTTAGTCTAAGTAACTACACGTCAAGTACACTATGTTTTAACGTCAGTTGGTTAAAATTAGGAAAACTGTAGGAAAATCTGAACCTAGGTCTCGTGTCATTTAATATTACAATCGGCAAGACGTTCCTGGAATCTTGGGGGAACTGAATATTAGAACCAGCGCAATAAAATTTCATGGGCGGAGACATTACTACTGAGGTGATGTGTTGTGATTCGTATGTAGATATGCAAGTTTTTCTTTATATATCTGATCGTTTAGTTTACTGTTAAGAGGAACACCAGTCTTGTAACAGAGTTATCTGGGTGGTCAGATTCATGGGTGCACACATATGTTAGAGGCCTCAATGCTTTTAATATTAACTAATCCCAATCATTACAGTCAACAAGATACTCATGAGCACATCATTTTTTCGGGTTGGCTGAATTGCTGATCAGTAAATTTTAAAGTATATTATATTATCAACTGATAGATTGTAATTATGTTTCTTCAAACTAGCCAAAAATAGAGATGAGCTGATGTAATATTTTGATATAATGATCCATTACTTTGTTCCAACTCCCTCGGTGCTGGCTATTAGAGTGAGTAGGTGCAGATGGCTGCCTTATTAATAACAAAAGTCTACTATCATCAAGTAGTTTATCATTTCTACTCATTACTTGGGCCTTCGGTGATTATCACTTATTTAGTGCTGTCACTGAACTCAACCAATACTTCAAAGATATCTAAAATCGTATACTAACAAATTATGAATGTCTTTCACTTCTTAAGGATGTATTTATCAGCCATAAGGCATTACAAAGTAAACTGCTGTATAATGTTCTCGACTTTTAATAGGTAGACGGATACATCATCTATACCCAAAAAAACTATTTCATTCTCCTTTATGTCATTGAAGTTAGTTGTAATTAAGTTTTCTAAAAGATGTGTAAACGAAACGCCGTATATCTTCAGAAAGCGCCAATCAAATGGTTGGTTTAAAACAGCTTTTTCTACATGTCTAAATGAAAGCTTTCATTTAAAGCATTATTTAATATCATCATATCTTATGGTTCAAAATATCAGTCATTTAACAATAAATGAGTTCAACCATGTCCATAGTAAGATAGGTATTACTGAAAACAATCAATGATAATAGTGTTTTATCTCTTATATATATATATATAACAAATAGAACTGTGAACCATGGAGGTGTCAACTTACTGATCTAAATTTAATCTGCTCAAATAGTCACTCACTTCACTTGATTTACGAAATAAAATTTTAAAGAACTTGTGATTAGTTGTATTATTTTCCGATTAGATGTTTGATGAAAAGAGGAAATGTTTGCAATCTATTGTTCGTGCGATAATAACGTAACGGGAGAGGAGGATATATTATATGTGGAGTAGGAGATAACAGTAATAGTTTCGTCTTTCATTATTTTCCCAAGTTGATGAAATCATAACACTTTTAGTATCCTTTCATTATATCGTTAAATTGAAGGGGATTACTTCTTATATACATATATATCTATTCTTAACAATTGTGGAGCAATTTATTTTACTTAAGGAATGATATGGAAGATACATCAAAATGGTATTTTAGGCAGAAATGTTATTTCATCATACACCACATTGCTCATCTTCTCTGACTGAAAATAATACAGCTAATACCATTTCTACTTATAATACTTAAGTATTTGTCTTGGCAAATTCATATCACTGTGCTAATACGTCTGACAACTTTAAAAGATACACATTTATGCCAGGTTTTTCATTGGTCATGACTAACTAATTGTGAATACTTTTCGCCCTTAGTTATTTTCATGGTCTCAACTTCGTTGATCAAGAAAACTGTCATGTTATAATGAATGTTTCGCTTGAATTTGAAAACTAATGCTCTTTGTTAAACAATGTCCATTTTGTAATTGACAATAAAATATCCAAATGCCTGTGGAAAGTGGTACATTTATTATTAATTCTCAAACTTTTTGATAAGTGTAAATCATGTGTTTATTCCAAAAAACCTTCAAGAAACTGAAGTAAACTAGCAAAACAGTTGTTAGCCTGCTGGTGACAAACATTGACATAGATTCCTGAAATTCCATCAGGAAGTCATAATTGGTGGAAATCAGCAATATCTATAAAGAAATAGTCATAATCTGTCTTGTAACGTAACTTTCAAAAACACGATGAAGATTTAAATTAAGCTTCTCAACAGAGTGTAAGAAGTACTCCATGATATACCATGTTTATTTCGGACTGGCATCACTAAGTTAATTCAAGAAGAAACCTATTTTGACAAACTCGTTAAATAAAGTCTCGTTCTAGCTTGATAAGCACTATAGCTTGTTTTTAACGATCTATTGATTTATATACATTTCAATAAATAAGAGGTATAAATAATAATGAACGTAGCTTATTTAGTTAAAGAATCCTACCGAAATAAATGAATATGAATACCAGTGGAATGACTTGATATTGAAAGGCTGTTTGGACTGGTTTGAACAGAGTAAACACACTTTAATTAACTGTATATCCTAATAGTGCCTTGAAAATGTAAACCATATACATAAATGCTACTCAAGAGATAAAACTTTTATTTATTTATTTTTACTACTAGCAATTTAATCAGTAGTTAGATAAAACAACAAATGTCAAGTTTAAGTACTTTAAAAGTTACCTTCTTTTGATAAATTTAGATAATGCAATGAAAATGCGAAGTTAACTAGAAATATGTGATTTATTGGCTCAATACACTTCTGACAGTCTGATCATAAATTTACTTGTGAAGACATTTGCAGATAGAAATCCTAAGGTCGACCAAACAGATTGAAAGATAAGAGGAAAACAATGATCATAAGTTAAAGGGCACAAAACACACCACTCCGGATAATAACTCAACCTTACCAGGGTAAGTTTACTTTAAGTGCAGATTTTTTTGGACATAAGGGGGTTTGAACCACCATACAGTTGGGGTTTCAAGAAACCTATGTTTTGAATGAGAGTTGTTTTGTGCTAGTACTTTGTGATGGCATTTAATATCGTTTTGATGATTGCCTTAACTTTTCTCTTACTTCCAATCTGTCCTATCAACATTCGACTTTCTATCTATAAATGTTTTAATAATTCAATATATGATAAAACTGTCAGGAATGTATTGCACCAATTTATTGCATAGTTATGATCTAAATAGTTATATAATTGTGAGAACATTTAAAAACTTCCACTTACTTTCAGTTGTTATGTAGAGAATTTGAATGAAATTTCTCATTTCACGACAGGCGTTCTTTTTAAACTTCATGCCTACACTTTCATCTTAAGGAAAAATGGAAAATATTATTTCTCCTTTGTAATCTTATTCAATGTTAAATAGCAAACAATATTGGTGTACAAAGTAAAGAAACTGTCAGAAGTTAAATAAACTATAACAGAGTAGAATGTGTGTGAATAACCCGAGGATATTATTTTTATATTTCGTTAGCTACAGTGGAAATTTATTGTGATTCTTAGTATCATACAGTATTTATGGTTTCGTGTAACTCTCAGGGGTATCGACGGGAACAAAACAGCACTACTGTAATGAAAGCTGCATCTAAGTAATCATAAATAATATCAGACTTTTAAAGAGTTTTATATTTCAAGAAAAGATGATCAAATGAGTGTATATTGCTACAAACTTAGTATATCACATAATACTTTGTCTAGAGGTATTAATAAGAAGAGTGATTAGTTACAGGGTAGGGTTTTATGATTAATACAACATTCTGTTTAATACAGAAGTATAATAACTAATAATAATAATAACAACAACAACGTAAATGCTGTTGGGGGAAGCTTCGCAACTAAAATATGATTTGAAAGTTTCTTCATTGTATAACTGACGCAAGTAGAGTCTTCTATTGCTTTTTAACTAATAAACTTTGGTTATTCTTAAATTTTTATTTTTAAGGATTTGGTTTAAATGTAGCTCATAAAACTGACCTAGTAGAAATGAGCTATTATAAGTGAAAAATACGGATATTAGAATTTATACCTCAAGGTTAAAGATGAGTATCCCGAGTACATATTATACCAGATACTATTCTGATAATGTTTAACACAGAAACAAAAGTTTCTAGTGAATACTCGTATAATATTCATGTAGAACATTTTCTAATTATACTAGGATCTTTTACTGATATACTGTAAAAGCTAAGTGGATCTCTGCTATCCTATTGAATAATATTATTTACTACACGATATATCATTTGTAATGGCTTTGTTTCGTTATTCAATCACCTCAACAACCGTTATATAATAAATCTCAACAGTGTTTAAAATCAGAAGGTAATGAGAAGCGGCGACTACAGTTTATTCGTGGTTAGCGCAGATTACAAAATACATCAAACAAATTTGAAGCAGAGAGGCGAATAAGTATATACGAGCAAATTCATAATGAAATTGTATAAAGGCACAGCAAAAGCTAAAAATAGGATTTGAGTACATATATACATGGGGAGGAGAATGAATCATCGAGTGATATTTAAGCGATCAACATTTTAGCTAGAGTCTATCATGTGATCTAGTGATCATAACAGTAAAAATTAATAGACGGATTGTTACTGCCCAAATAACATTGTCTGTTAAGTTAATCGAAATTAACCATAATCGAAATTGATTGTAGGATATTTTGTAAGCAATGATGGATAGTGGCTAGCAGTGGGATCCAGGACTCGCGTTTCGTCTTAATTGGGACTCGTCAGCTGGATGTACCTGCATCTCAGAGTTGATGTTCACTGTGGGACTCGAACCCAGTACCATTCGCTTCAAATGCCATCGTGTTATCCACACAGCTACTGAGTCCTGATAGCCACTTACTTGTGCAATAGGGTGAATTTGAATTCACTTGGTATTGTTTGGCTTGTATCTTCCCATTGAGGTTTAAGACTGCAATTGATCAGTCTGTTATTGGCATATGTGCATACTGTGCGTATGCCTCGATATTGCCTAATTCACAAGCTTATTGTAAGCAATGATGGATAGTGGCTAGCAGTGGAATCGAGGACGCGCGTTTCGTTCTATTTGGGACTCGTCGGCTGTATGTACCTGCATCTCAGAGTTGATCAATTGCAGTCTTAAACCTTAATGGGAAGATACGAGCCAAACAATACCAAGTGATTGTAGGATAGTTGCTATACATTATCAATTTTCAGAACTTGTATATTCTCATTAATCAATATTTTCAAAAGTGAATCTGATCAGTCTTTAATAACCTATTAACTCTTCAAATAGATGACTGAAATCCTTACCATTACTAATACTCAATCCAAGTTGTCACTATGATGACTATTATTATACTTGACAACATAATTTGATTTGCTCTATTTTTTATATTTTCCTTTCAGTTTCAAATATTGAAAAAAACTTCTAATCATTTGAAAATTTGTTTATTCATGTTTTCGATTTAGAAGACAAAAAATCTCCCAGTTTTCAGTTACCTGTCAATCATTTTACTTAATAACGGGGGAGGGGATAAAAAGTCAAGATGACAGTAATAAAGTGAAATAATCACTTCAAAAGTATAAAAAAAACAGTAGATGGAATGTCAATCAAATTGCTCAAGGGAGAAAAAGAGAAAAGCAATCACTTTTGAATTTTTTTGTTTTTTTATTTATTAAAAAACTGTCTTAATTTTGAAATGAAGACATATATATAATGAATACAGAGTATTGAACAGACGAAACTGTTATATTCTACAGTTTAATAGTTGAATTCATGAGTCAATTGAAACTATATCACCATGGAAAATTCAAAACACTAGACGACCGTTTCGTCCTACTGTGGGACTTCTCAGCAATTTGTTGGAACTGCATATATTTTGTTGAGTTATTCATGTAGAATGTGTTTACTAACTGAGATGGATTGAATGAATCCGTTTTTAGTAGATATATATTTGACTCCATTTTGCTCGCTTCTGATTGCTATTGAGATATACTTATCGCCAATCCTCGTATATAATTATTGACTTAACTCATTTTAGTAAATAACGGAATCAAATAAGTCAAATACGAGAATGGATGATTGAATATGTATATTTCGTACAATTGTTAATCGAGACAAACGATCGAAGAAACGAAGTGAAGAAAGCGAAGAGAAGAGAGTGGAACAAAGTGACGCGCAGTGGAGAGGGAGTGTGAGCCAACTCATTTTAATCAAGTGTGAATCAATATTTATAGTTAGACAAAATTAAGTTATAGACATGTGATTATTGAGATAGGAAATGAACACACATACGCTCATATAAAAACAGTCAAGAATGATAAATGAGTAATTAACAGGGTCGAAACGTGACTCAGGTAGAATTGATAAATTGGCCTGTCCAGAAGCTAGAGTAAGTTATATGGGCTTAACATAGTAACCAATCCTACCAGTTATCAAATCAGGAACAAATGGACTGTAAATTATATTTTCAATCCTGAAACCAAAGAATTTGTTGAAAATCACTTATTGTAGTGAACTGACTGAAGTTGAAATTTTAGTGATTTGTATGCCTTTTATTAAGCTTAATATTAAACTCAATTTCGTGGATTAGTTTAATTTAGACATTAACACCATCAGATTCCGGCTCAGTGGTCTAGAGGTTGATCGTTCACGCGCGAGACCGATAGGTCCTGTGTCCGAATCTCGCAAGGCGAGATTGTGGATGCGCACTGCTGAGGAGTCCCACAATAAGACGAAACGGCCGTCCATTGCTTCTAGGTATTCCATGGTGATCTAGCTTCAATTGACTTATAATCCCAACTATCAAAATTACTATATTATCCGCAAAACCCCTTTTAATACTAATATTAAACTGATTATAGCTACTGCATATTATGCTGTGATCAAAAGTTTCAGTTTTTATTAAATCATATTGAAATATACACTAGTAACATATGAGTTATGTTTACATTATGATTTATACAGAAAATCTACTCACAAGCTTACTGATCAGCTTCAATCTTAATTATCATTGGTCTATGGGTTATGATTTTCACCTATACATTATAAATAACACTTAAACAATAGTCTCAAGGTGAACACGAACTCATCAAGCAACTCAATAGAAGTCTAGTTGCCAAACTTTTCAACGTCATTCAGTTTTGATGATACATGCTGTCATTGATTATTGGAGTTCTGAGTCACTGTGTCAATTACTAAGTGTACTTCACCTCACAGAGTATTGAATCGCACTATATATAACTGTTCAATCTACCTATAAGAAATTCACCAACATAGATATAATTATTACTGAGTTACAACTCTTTCTAAAGATTTGAAATGATATCAATTGTAGTTATCAACTGTGGTACAAAAACAGTTATACAATACCCTTTACTTAGAAAATATTACTTTCTACCTAGATGTTTATTGTATAAATTGATCAGCCATTTCAAATGATTTAGAAAATGAATAAAATGAATAGTTGTATCTTGAGAGAAGACTCATGTCATTACATGTTTAACTGCTGTACAAAACAAGATATAAACACGCTAAAATGTATTCTGATTGATAACAATTGAAGAAGGTTACTGAACTAATAATTTGATAAGTTTCAAATTTATTACAATCCAATGCTTATACACAATAGATAAGACCCATCATTTTATCCAACAGTATTCTCTTTTTTTATGTAACGGTTAACTTTCAACAAAGCAAATTAAAGTACAATATTAGTATTAATAACTTACGTTGCCAAGTGATTTGTCTTGGTGATAATGAATCATTTTTTTCAACAGCATTTAATTCAGATAAAGTTTCTTCCATTAATTTTTCTAATCGATTTCTTAATTTTTTAATTTGTGCTTCTCTAGCTTGATCTGCTGAATAAAACTTGTCTGATTCTTCTAAAATGTTTAATATGAAAAGATATATGAATATGTTGTTTTTTGTTGTTGTTATGAAAACAGTAGAAAAAAAGTAGATCAAGTAATATTTTGTGGTGTTTGTATGAACTAATGATTCTTTTGTACTTGTTGAATGTTTGATTTCGAATTCCAAATACAATACATTCGTTTGTGGTTATCTAGTACTTCATGATCCAATTGCATTATTTCTGAGATTCTTAGTTTGTACTATAATGCAAATACTCCTAATTATCACATTGACGTCGCGATGGAACCTGTGATGGAATGAGTGGACATATATTCAGATTTTGATGCTTTTGAGGATTACTTGGAAAGTTTCGAAATCTAGGCTATGACCAAGGAAGATGATGAGGATGTTAATATTATAGCACATTTCCTCACATTAATCGGCAATGAAGCTTACAGCTTACAGCTCTACCAGAAAAGCCTATTTCACTTCCTTATGCAATTCTCAAGGAACTACTGCTAGACTTTGTTAAGTATACAGATTTCGAATTCAGTAAAGGAGGAAGAATTCGTAAAATGATTCATCAGGATATCTCAATCCAGTGCGTACTCAACGTTATGCAGACAATTCATTGAGGAGCTGCAATGCAGTTCACGAAAATGGGCATAAGTTTGGTCAATGTTCGTCCTGTGGTGGGTTTCGCTCATTTAATTTATGTGCATTTCTTAATTTTAAATGTGGTGAGATTGGACATATTCAGTCAGTTTGTTACACTACAGTTCATTCCGCTGCAACTAATGCTAAAATTTGTAATTGTGATCCTATCAAGTTGGGTGATTCTAACGATCATTTATATTTATCCACGACTTCGGAAAGCGGTATAGAGTCACATAGCAGACCAGAACTGACTGAAACTCAGAATCATTGTGAGACAGAAGTTTCTAATCAACCAACTTCTTATCAGATTTCTCATGTTATTGTACCAGGTATGGTTTGTCCTAATGATTCATATATTTCTGATAAAGTTTCTTATGAATCGGAGGAAAATATGTTGAGTGAATCAAATCATGACCGAAAACCTGATGTAGTTTTGATAGATGTTGATTTTTCTAACGATCCATCGCGCTGCAATAATATTCTTAGTAAGTTTGAGGAAAATATTTCAGAAGAATCAAATCCTGATGTCATATCATGCATTACTTATACTCATAATGCATTTGCTTCTTGTGGGAAACCTGTTCAATGCGAAGCACGAATTCTAAATGAGCTCGATTTTGATTAAAATTCGGATGATTCCATATCAACTGTTATTTATCCTTATCATGAAGTTACTTCTAATGTATACTCTGATCAATGTGAGAAATATGTTTTAAATGAAGCCACATCATTCATAACTTGGGGATATGAAGATCCAATATTATTTCGTGGGGGAGGATTATGTTGCAAAATCTATGGTTCAAATTCTAAATATTAGTGGTTTCAGTACACAACCGATATGGTGATTCCGTTGCATTTGCAGTTGTTGGTCCTAATACTAGTGAATACATCCTATATCATATAGAGTCTACATCCAATACACTGTCGAACAGGCACAGGATGAACATAAGGAGTAGACGTAAATCGACTACAGAAACTGAGACTCCAATTTAAGCTATGACGGATGTGGTGTTTGTATGAAATAACGATTCTTTTATACTTGTTGAATGTTTGATTTCAAATTCCTGTACTTCTTGATCCGATTGCATTATTTCTGAGATTCCTAGTTTGTATTATAATTCAAATACTCCTAATGATCATATTTTTCTTTGATAATACTGAGAACTGACAAGATAATCTTAAATAGTTTATTTATGCTTATTAAAAAACTGATTAATCATTGGTTGGCGACTGTTACTAACGCAAAACGCAATATTCAGTAGCATATGGTTGATTGCAGATAGAAAAAAAGGTTCTTTTTTCTGTTTTTTTTTAGGATAAAATATGCAAAATTATGAAAAAATTCCATTCTAGAAAAGATCACATTCACAGTCACCAAGAGAAACAATGTGTTCATTGTGTATACCGACAGTATTTGTGTTTGTCATTTACTTTCAACTGTAAAAGGCTTTAACTAGTTTTTTTCTTGTCTTCAAATACTAATTATAATGTTTAATGCATGGATCCTAATCTATTCATGTCACATTGATTTTCAAAAGAAAAAGATGTCAGGGAAAGTGTTCTTTTATTTTTAAAAAACATTTTTGTGTCTTCTTCATGATATTTTATTGGATTTAGCATTTTAATAGTTGTATAGGGTTATTATGATAACATATGAATGTAATTTATAACATAATTGCATAGATATTTCATTAAGACAAGTGTAAATTAGTTATTATGATGAAATGGTTTGGATTATCTCGTTGTTGATATATATGTGCATCCTGTGTGTAGATTGTCTTTATGTAGTATATAGAATAGATGAAATATGGCAAGTATTGGAATGGAAGACACGAGTTTTGTTTTATTTGGGACACATCACTATGGGATTCGAACTTAGTACCGGATTCTATTGCTAGCCACATTCCATATATTCCATATTAAGTCTAAAGTAGGAACTTTTATTGTGATTAAAAGAATGAATAACATATACAGGTCAAGTATACTCTTTTAGTGGTGTTGTTTTCTCCAATCTAGATAGTTTGACTAAGAAACTTTCATCGTCACGCAGGAAGCATTCCATATATAATTTTACATCAGTCTCAAATTCTAATTTACAACTTATTTTAATGCTACAAACTTAGATGACTAGTGGTGTGATGAAGTTCATTCATTTGTGATAGGAAAATCCAGTTTAACTGTTGTAATTCATTTCATTTTTGACACTAAAATATTTAACCGATGGTTGGTAAGATTAGAAGATATTCGTAGGTTACTAGTATTTGATCATAGCTGTCTTCGAAACATCGCTCGTATATCCTGTGACCACCGAGTAATACAGTTGTTAGGAATCGGGTACTAGGTAAGGATGGCAAATCAATTGATGAAGTAGTGAAACTTCATCAGTTGAGATGGCTTGGACACGTGTTACGTATGCCCAACCACCGACTGCCTCGACGAACGATGTTTCATCCTGTAGGAGTAGGTTGCAAGAAAGCTAGGGACGGCCAAACCAAAATATGGCACAGATCCGTGAAGTTACTGACAAGTGGACTGAGTCATGTTGGTGGGTGCTGACTACCTGGTTGGGATCGGCCAGATGATAGCAACCGATAGTTAAAAACCTTGAATGACATGGCTCAAAATCGTTTACAATGACGCAGGCGGAATCACTCTTTGTGTTCTCCCAAATTCTATTCTTCTGAATTCTTCATGTCCCTTTCTTTTTTCTCTTTTCAAATTTATTTCACTCGATTATGCTTCTTGAATAACATCTTCAAACCCTAATGTTTCCGATTACTGCTTATACTTTTACTACCTCTACCACTATGGGATTTGAATGGACAATTGTATCTGTGTGCCAATGTGGTATTGCAACTCGAACTGATGTAGGTACGTACGAAGTTCTAGGTTGTTACTGACTGAATGAAACGATGATTTAAAATAATAACTGAAATATACCTGTAAACTTAAGCAATAAATAAAAAGATTGAATAATTTATCATTTTGAATATACACACAAGAACAATTATACATAAAACACATACTCGATTCGATAGAGTTTCTTTTAGATGATGAGGATCGAAATAAAAGATTCCAAAGTTCTTCTTCAGCCATATTTTGGACTTCTAAAATATACAAATCAATAATTAATTCAACTGACTAGTAATTAATTGTTATCAAACATATTAATAAACAAGTATTTCATAGTTTTAAATGATGAAATGACTTTAATTAGATGACCATTAAGCACTAAAAAGCACTATAAATTAATTAACTCCTATAACCTCATATACCGAAGATAAATATGTGTGTACTAATAATTAATTTAGAAAAGTGTTTATCAGAGTTCTAGTTAGAAGCTGTCATCATTGAAGTTCAACTGTGTCAAGTATGAGACGAATGCTGATGAATAACATTGGACGATGGTTAGGTAATCTTACAAATCGATTGAATTTAGAAGTATTATCATGGCCTGTTAATTCAGTGGTTTCAAAGTTATGTGCTCATTGAGAGGCCTAAAGATTCTGGGTTCAATCTATAGTGAGTCCATAGATGTAAAATATCAACGAGTTCAATATAAAATGGCAATCAATTGTTTTCTAGTTTTCACTAGTTGTCTAAATAACGTTAGTCTGTGATATGAAACTCAAAATTGACAAATTAATATAACCCCATACATTAATAAGCATTTTTATGTATTGATTTGTTTCTCATTTACGGTAATGTCTACGAAACCAGTATCGTTAAAAATCAACGCTTTTGGCTTTATTAGAATAATTTCTAATCATGATACAACATTATATTAAATACACTTTCTGTTTACACTACTTGCAAGCAAGTTATATCTACATAAAACTAGTGTTAATTTGATCGATATCTGACGCTTAACTTGAATCAAAAAAAGATTTCCTTTCTTTCGTGACAGTAGATTATGCTAACTATCTGATAAGGAAACATAGTTTAGTGAATGTCAGATTATTTAAACTGGTGGTAAAATTACATAATTATCAATGGAATTCATTTATTTATAAGGACCACAAAAACAAGACCGCTTAGCAACCAATCAGTTTAAATATCTTTTTCATGTAAGTCGTCAGTCTCAGCAATTAAAATACAATGGTAAAGTCTCACATTGTTAAACTGGGAGACACAGTTTCAGATCCCACAGAGAGAGAGCATCATTTCACTCAAAACTGCATGTAAGTCTTACTAACAAGAGGTGGTAACTAGCACGAAATGCGATTTCAGAGATTTTCACTTGTTGAAATCATGAGTCAGTTGAAGCTAGACCACCATGGAAAACCTGGAAGCACTGGACGGCCGTTTCGTCCTAGCATGGGACCCCCCAGCAGCGCGCATACACGATCCCGCACCCCGCGGGATTCGAACCCAGGACCTATCAGCCTCGCGCCAGGCGCCTAACCAATTAGACCCCTGAGCCGGCTGGCATCCAACGGTGTTAATGTCTAACTTCAACCAATCCACGAAGTTGCGCCACCGTACACCATTGTCTTCAGTCAGACCTGGTTGAACTCCACTGGTAACGAGACTTTGTTGATATCCTCTAATCACTTATTATTCGAAACATCATTAGCAAAAATGAGCAAAACAGAACAATAAGTATCAGTATTCATTATGTTTTCACAAAAAAATTACTAAAATCATTATGTAAAGAAATCAATCGGAAGTAATTATCGAAATTAATTTAATTAATTTTATAATTATCATAAATATTTAGCTTAATATTCATGATAAAAATGATTATTATTTATTCACATGACAAATATATTTTAATGGTCAGTATAGGATTGTGGAAATTATTAAGTTTTTGATTGAGATCATGAACCGATTCTTGTTAGATCACCATTGAAAACCTGGGAGCATTGGACGGCCGTTTCGTCCAATTGTGGGACTTCTCGGCAGTGTTCATTCTTTCTTGGAGTTCTAGTGAGAAACCGTGACCAGTGGAGCTAATTCGTGTTGAGTAGAGACAGGTATCTACCTCAGACAATGAAATATGGTCACACAATTTCGCAGATTGGTTGGGATTAGACATTAACACCGTTGGATGCCTACTCTGTAGCCTAGAGGTTAGGCGTTCGCGCGCGAGACTGAAGGCCTTGGGTTCAAAACTCTGAGAGCGGGACCGTGGATGTGCACTACTGAGAAGTCCCACAATGGGACGAAACGGTCATCCAGTGCTTCCAGGTTTTCTATGGTGGTCTAACACCAATCAGTTCATAATCTAAATCAAAAACATTTTAATGGATAACGTTTCAAATCCCTTATGTTCATTTATTATGAGTTTTGTAACTAGAGGAGGATGGACAATAATTTGACTACGAAGATATTTGAAATATCTACATATTACAGTGAACATACTCCATAAAAACATTCCTCTCTATTTGTAATAATAGTATTGTTCAGAACTATAATAATATTTACTTATTGTAAGTTTTCATTTCATTATTACAAATTAATTAATCAGTTGACAGCAATCCTGATTTCAACTATTGTACTACTGTATGCTTGTTTATAATCCTTTCTTAGCTGGTTCTAAATATCAAATAACCGATATAACTAGACAGATTGATACAATAATGGGAAGAAGAGAATGTCGACTAGCATGTATCTACAACGAATATGATGACTCTCACTCTGAATGTCTTATATCATATTGAGTAGCAGGAATGTAAGAAGATTACATCAGAAGGAATATTAGTCGATAAAATGAAATATTTCTAAATACATTTTCAATCATCCCTAAAATTACAATGTAAAAGTAGTGAAATAAAATGTGATTCACAAAATGTATTTGAATGGAACAACTTAAAGAGAAAATGACGCTGTACCCTATTGGTTAGTTCTAGAGATACGAACATATTCAGTTTTTTGACCTTTAAATCTCTCAATGGTGGTATTATAACTTTACACTTTGAATTTTTGTATTATTCATCAATACATTATGAAGATCGCAGAGAATTTTAAAGGAACTTATAATTTTTAACAAAGAAGCCACATCGTCTGTAGCTAATTTCCATTACATACTGAAGTCAACTTTTAAAACAATCAATGAAAAGAAAGGAGGACTGGACCACTACTTTATCTTAGCTTGTGATTCCATCTACACTCCATATTAATCACAAAATTTTAACTCTAATCTTCCGATTCCATGTCACGTGAATAACTCATTAGTTAATATTTATGACTTCAATGGTCCTCATTTGATGTAATTGGTGAATCAGTCAAACACTTTACGCGGTTAACATATGGAAATCTTTCCCAAAGTTGATCTGATCAAAAAAAGTCTACCTACATTATCCAGTTGTCATTATTCCAGGCAATTATTGATGAAGTGATTACTTTCAGTAAATAGTAAAGTGTAATTGGCCTTTTTAATTATTAATTAATAAAAGTAGGAAACTAAATGGAAGAAAATTCTGTCTGAATGTTTGTAACATCCCTTTGTTCAATAGTGCTATTGACTAGATTCACATAATAATTCTTTTTTCTAAGGTTTTCAACCAGAGTCTTTGTGCACCATCTGGAGCTATGTAGATCAACAATCAGTGATTTAGTCGAATGATCCAATGGCTTGGTTAAGCCTATTCTAGCTCTTTTTCAACGTCCTACTATTTTGACTAGCTTAGAGGTTCATGGTAGTCAGTGACGTAATATATATGGTAAACATCTTAGCTGGAAATGTTTTGAAGCAATAATGATTGTGATATTTTCGAAAAATAATAATAATGAAAAAGCTCTGAATCAAATTTTTTCTATTAAACATTATACTAAACTTACGTTTGTACGTTGATCCAAATAAACTTTTAGCAACAGTTGTACTTCCGAATTCTCTGAATCGTTGAATTACTGTCTCGTAAAACCAATTACATGTCATTGCACGATAATTTCTGAATACGATAAAAGTAGAAATTATTCACTTAAGTAAAGTCAGTAGAAAAAACATATTGAACAATGAAGATAAATTGGGTTAGTAACTGTTTTTAGTCCCTGTAAGTTAAATAGTGGATTAGGTTACTTAGACCTGAGTTAAAGGAGGATAATATAGAATTAGTATGTAGTAATAATTAATAAACATTGAAATAATTTTGTTATCAATGCAAAAATGGTATAATTTTTAGCTGATCTATTGTCGTAGGTATGAACAAATCACTTAAGTTTATTCACTTTTGTTATCTCCTTTCTCAATGGATCACATCTAACAAGAATGACATTTACAGAGAGTGGGAATAATAGTTGTATATTTTGTAAGAATAAAGTCAACTTGATTGGCAATAAGCTATGATGTTAATCAGCTATTATTAGTTCGTAACTAGCAACTCACCTTATTCTTTGAATTATGACCATTTATCCATTGACTAATGTTTGATTTTTAGACTGTAAAAATCAGTAAAAAGTAGACTAACTTGAAGAGTTAAAGTTTAAGCTTTATTCACTTATATATGAGCGAATCAATAGTTTTCCAACCAGTGACAAAAAAAAAACTAAATTCGATTTAAATAGATCTCTGAAAGCATCTTTTCTTAGAATCGTTGTTTGATATTTATTATTGACCTGTTTCTAGGTTACAGGTAATGAATACTTATAACTGAGCTTGTTACTTAACTATTGATTGAAACAATTTGGCCCGGTTGTTCTCTTTCTCAAATAACAGGAAATGTTCATTTCAAGGAATCGCTCATGTGATCAGATTATTGAGACTGCTTTTCATCAAGCAAAGAGAAAAAGGAATAATCTTCACTCCCCCCCCCCAAAGTATGATTTGATTATTTAACTAACACAGATTTCCAGGTTTTAATCAAGTATATTATTTACAGAGTTAATGAAAATTCAAAGAAATTATGCTGATATAGTGATTGTCTAGGAGGAACAGGAATATCGTTATAGAAAGTAGTTGTTGCTTATTGTCTAAAACTTAGATACACTGTTTTAACCATAATCTCATTAATATGTGTTATACAACAAATTTAAATGAAAATGCATAGTTCTAAATTAATGTCTTTATAAACGTGTTGCTTCTATGGTGTATTTTTATATACCTGACTATAAATGTTCCTTCTGAGCATACATCAAGAAGACATTTCCTATCATAATAGAACGAAAACATTTTAATAGCTGAACCTCGTCAACCTGACAATGAATAGATTACATTTAGTGTGTTTATGTTAGTGGCTAAAGAGGGTTTGAAGTTTTTACGGACATAAGTGCATGAAATCGCCGTTGCAACGTTTTGGTAACTAGCCAAACTTAGTTATGAAACCGGTTGAAACGAAAGAAAAATTGTTGCTAGAAGAATTTGTAAACTTTAACTACTGGACAAAAAACATTTCAAAAATTATGTGAAATAATTACTCACTTTTAAAAACGGTTTAATTAAAAACGAATGAATTCAAGTTGGCTGATAAAAACGAATTTTTACCAATATCATGTAGCAGGTAAATTTTAGTGCATATTCCAAAATCACATAGTAACCATTTGAAAAAGGTTCCATGGATCATTGAATAATAAAAACCGTTTTTATAATTGATTAATTGTTGAGTATTCATCATTGTCTTTTTAATGGCTGACTGAATTCTCTCAGTCAAGTTTCAAGGTGACCACTGGTCTAAGCGACTTAATATCAAGTACATTGTTGAGATGATGAATGATTGAGGGTTCTTACTTTTATAGTACACTTAATACTTTTTAAAAAGTTTCCAAGTTCCATGCTAAATGACCTTTCCTTCTGTTTTCTTACACTGTAATGATGATGATAGTAACCATATCTGTTAGTCCAGTGCATTGAAAGTGATCATGGGTCGAGAGTCAGTTTGGTAGTCTATCACCTTTGAAATATGCCTAAGCCTTGTGAAAATCAAAGTCCAAAATATAGTTGCACGTGCAAAGTTCCATCAAAACACTACCGGTATAAAATTAATGATGACCAATATGAGAATGTTTGTAACTTTTCAAATTAGGTATTCAGTTAGATTAATCAACCAAGTGATGGATTATTATGTTTAGGAGTTGAATTAATCTTTATTGAAAAGTTGTTATACTGATATAATCGTTAAAACAGAAGTTCTTTGACATCTCCAGTTATCCAACTAGAGTAAAATTATTTAGTTTAGAAAGTAAGTTTGAGTTTTCAATGCTCATTTGACAAATATTCTTTGTTCACTAACTAAATTTCTTAAAAACTGAAAAGATTTCGATATTTCTTAAGTTTCGCATAAGTTTAATTTATTAAAACTTCAATACGATTAATGTAATGTATTTGGTTTTTGTGTGTGTTCTAAAATGACTCTAGTTGATAACATCATAATAAAGGGGGTACTAATATTGTCAATTGTCAAACATACTGAATGATATTATGGTACAGTTACATACAACTGGTTAGCGTAAAGGCGAGGATTGGCAAAGTAAGGGCCGCATTCCTACAATTGAAGAACATATGGAACTCGAAACAACTTTCAACTAATACCAGAGTCAGAATCTTCAATACGAACATCAAAACATTTCTCTGTAGGGAGTTGAAACATGGAGAGCTACAACAACCATCATCAAGAAGGTACAAGTATTTATGAATAGGTATCTACGCAAGATACTCAACATCCGTTCACCGGATACCATCAGCAACAGCCTTCTGTGGGAGAGAACAAATCAGCTTCCGGCTGAAGAGGAAATTAGGAAAAGATTATGGAAATGGATAGGATATACATTACGCAAATCATCAGACTGCATCATGAGGCAAGCCCTTACTTGGAATCCTGAAGGGAAGCGGAAAAGAGGATAACCAAAGAACATATTACGTCGGGAAATAGAATCAGATATAAAAAGGATGAATAACAACTGGAAAGAGCTGGGAAGGATTGCCCAAGACAGGGTTTGGATGGAGAGTGCTGGTAGGCAACCTATGCTCCTCCACTAGGAGTAACAGGCGTAAGTAATATACAACTGGTCTTCTTTTTATCAAATTAGTTGAATCCTATTGATTATCGTAAAATTGAATACTAAAGAAGAGAATAGTTTTTAAACTAGGATATATAAACTTTCCTTTTTTTAGCAATCTCACAGTTTATCAACATATATGCATATATGTGCCTGGTCCTACATTGTAGCTGGCTGACCGACAACATCTGTCATTATTATCACAGAATATATAAAAATATATATAGACTAGACTACTTTTGAAAAAGTAACTTACTTCTCTTTTAAACACATTCTACATAAGAATTCATCGTATTTATTCATAGATTCTGAACAATTTCGGCAAATTTCACGTTGACAATTGAAACATATATGTTTAGGATTAATCAAAGGTATAAATGCACGTCCACATAATAAACAAGATGTACTTTCAGTAGTTGATGTTAAACTTTTAACAGCCAATTCTCTATCTCGTCTTAAAATACTTGAACGAAATCGGCTAAGTTAATATATTTTTTTAAAAAGTATATAAAAGAAATTAATGAAATAGAAATGTAGTAAAATTAAGAACTTTTCATAATGTTCTATAATCAATAAACAGTCAATATTATAAATTTACCGAGTTTAGGTTGATGTATCTGAGATAGACTATCCATCTGATAGTTGGTAATAATTCTTAAGGTAAACATAATGTAATTCTGAAAGTTAAGTCATCAGTTTATAAATTGTTGAACAAGAGCATCATGATATGTGTGGTATATGTGTTCGATTTAACTCCTTAATTTTGTCATCCGTACCCCTCTCCTATCAATCAAAATGCGATTCCAAAGCCCAATGGAAAGCATATTATTAGACCAGTAAAAGAAACATCAAGAAATGGAGTATTAATTGCAATTCTTAGTACCATGATCATGTCATTTTATAAATCTTTGTAGATTTGTTAGGCTGGTGCCGTTTTTAGATAGATTTTTATAGATGTCGGATCTTCAAAGGATAAGAGTTTGTTAAGGAATAAGCACTTTACAGAAATGGGGCATTGTGGCACGTCATTATACGAGACAAATATTTAAGTACCTGTACTGATGTTCGAGCCTACGACTGTCAAGTACTTTATCAGTATCTAATACTATACAAGTACCTCTTAATTCAAGGTACGGTGTCATAAAGTGATTATTTATCTTCTTTAATCATCATGTTCTTGTATCATTATTTAATTCCTTGTATGGAAGTAATTTAAGCAAAAAGAATGGAATGTTGCAAATGTACCAAATGCATTGATTTAAAATGATAATAATATCTCTTCTCTGGTCTTGCGAATATCAATACGGTGTTGTACACAGAGAGACAATGAAGATACTCAGCCTAAAGAGTGTAAATTTTACCAATATAGAGAAAATTTGTTTATGTCAATGGGGCTTTTACAACCAGACTAGCGGAGCTATAGCTTTTGAAGTAAGCAGTTCTATATAACTTGTTACACAATCACACATGGCTAACACAAGTCACTAGATACCCGGACGTTTCGGCTATGTCCAACGAATCATCATAAAGTATCAGTAAACCTACATGGTCCTATCAGTATTGTAAATTTATTCTAGATTCCACTCTGCTAGAGTACATGTCACGATAACGAAGGTAAACCCTACTGACGAACTAATCAGATCTAAGATAGTGGTTATTGGATTTTTGTGTGAAATTCAAAGCAACAACTTATGTCTTATTAAGAATTGATTAAAACCTAACAAAAGTGGGTGATAAGACTGCACAAAATGATAAACATTTGAAAACCAAAGAATGTAGAATATAATTTATCAATTTCCTAAAGTTAACTTTGAGGGTCACGGTGTTTAAAATCAAAGAATCATTTCCATAAGTTTACATGCATATGGCTAAGAAGCATTATTCCACTCTATTCTTAACTATCACTCTTAGCTTCTAACCCTTAATTCTAACTTGAATTCATAACCCTAAATCTTAAATCTAATTCCTAATTCTATCTCTAAACATTTCAGCGATGTTACGTAATAAAATGCATCGTTTATATTCTGATTGACTAAACATTGGCGTCATTTGAAGGTCAAAAGTGGCATATTTCAGTTTTGTAATTACTATTAAAGTACTAATGGTTATCAATTATTTAATTCATTGATAATTGTTTCTGAGAATCGGTATGGATAATTTTAGTTCACAATATACATAAGCGGCTTTTATTTATAAAGAAATGTGATCCTACTTTCAATTTACTACAGATGATGGTAGCTCAGAAAATGCACACAAAGATGCATAAATGTTTTCTGCTTCATTTTGCCAAACTATTAACAGTTTGAAAATTAGAACACATATATGAATGGAGAATATTCTTTTTAATAAATTCTCTTTAAGTTCTACAATTGTGTAACCAAATTAATAATTCAAAAAGTGACCAAGTTAAAGGTTATAGCATGTGAATTCAGGATAAAATTGTTAATTGTCAGTAAGGGGTTGGGGAAATCGTTGAGTCTTATTCAGATTGCGAGCCAATTTACACTAAACAACCATAAAAGACAATGGAAGAGGGTTATGCAGTATCGTGGATTGGTTGGAGTTAGACATGTATATCACGAATTCTGACTCAGGCGTTTGCTAACAAGACCGAAGGTTTTGAGTTCAATTCTTGAACCCAGAGTCGTGAATATGCACCACTAAGGAGTTCCATACAAGGATGAACCGCCATCCAATACTTCTAAACTTTCAATCATTGTCTAACTTAGATCGGTTTTCGATTTTAATAAAAGTCTTTTTTGAAATCTTGAATATTCAATTATTCAATCAAAATTTTTAATCGATTTTGTTTATTTATTTTGATTATTTACACTTTATTATTGAGATAAGATGGTGGTTGGAGGTAGTCAACAGGAAACTCTGGACCCGGGTTTTGTGCTACTCGGCACTCGTCAGCAAGGTGTACTTGTAATCTTAAGGGAACTGGTGCACTAGAAAGGACTTAACACAAATGACAGTGATCACCATTCAGTGATCAATCAATTGTGATTACACCTTATTATTGATTTTATTAATTTGACTCATTTAATATTCATATTGTGATAATCCCTATTGCTTAAACTCTCTGATACTTTGTTGTTTCAAATTATGGATCAGTTCGTATTTATATCGATCTGTATATTGTTAGTAACTGACAAATAATAAGAGATAAAAAATTATTAAATAAATGCTTACTTCAATCTTTCTCGTTCTTTAGCACGTACTTCAAAGTCTTTTTTTACTACACATAAAACCTTTTGACGTTCATCTTCATTCAAATGATTTAAGTTTAAGTTTTCAATATCATGTTGAATAGATGAATTGATTGTTTTTTGTATATTGTCATTAGATGATTTCTCTGTTATACTATTACTACGTTGACCAAATACTGTTTTTTCACCAGATACAGTAACTACTGTTGTTGGCCAGGTCATATCAACATTGGCCATCGAAATGCCTTGTTGATGTTGTTAATGATTCTGGAAAGATTGATAAAGTAAAATGAAGATATTTTGCGTCAAATGAAAATTTTATACTGCCTTATAGACTACTTAATCTTGTAATATCAGTTAGGTCAACAAGATATCAAGACAAATGAATTTTAGAGATATAGTTCAAACAAGATCAACTTCGTTCTTCACAATCTATCCATTTCCTAGATATTGGTTATTATTTTAAGGAGTAGTTTATTCAAGAAACGATTACAGTTGTTTGGATAAAAGAGAACAAGCAGAAATCATCAATAAGTGGTGTAACAGATTAGTAAATTTTGAGCATCCACCATATCATAGTATTGATTGATTAGTGCCCGTTTAAAGGAATGTTACTTGAAGAATAGACTAAGGAAGAGGGATGGAAATTTAATGGATGATTCGATTGACCAATTATTCAGTTGTGAGGACAATGAACAGATTTGATTTCTTTTCTGATAACAGATTGACATGGAATGTAGGTCAAATATGTTACCGAGCAACGACTGAAGCAGTGACTTAAAAAGTATAATTGCTGATGTGTTCGTAATGTAAGTAATCAGTTTTCTCTATGTATTCAATGATTATTTTATCATGTCATATATCTAATGAATAAATGCACCATTGAACTATGGTCCTGTGTGAAGTGATCTGTCCCAAGTTTTTAGAAAGATTACATTATCTTCCAAAGGCCAGCTACACACAATAATGCATATTAATTATTCTAAAAGTTTAGCTGAAATAGGTTCATTTGTCAACTGTTTTTTTCTAAAGATGTTAGATTGTGTTGAAGCATGAATTTCATTATTGTAATGTACCTCCCCTGTCATTATGGCGATAATGTTACTAATTGTGGTACTAGTGCAGTTTGTGCTACTTATATTGACATAAGTAGTATATAATGCGATTCAAGAATGTAATGTCTGGCAGCAGAAGATTGAGAAGATCAAGAAGAGAAGAACGGGAATAGAAAGTAATTGGTGTGGAATTACAGGAACAATGAGGTCTGAGACAATTAATGGTCATTTTGCAAATTAAGTATTAGATTATGCTTTTTCTATTTTACCAAGTAACTCTATAATTGTGTGCCAAAAGTAATGCGGTTGTTCTAACCTGTGTTCTGTTCACTACACCAGTTTGAGTAGGAGACGGTTTGTATAAGGCTTTACAAACAGAATAGTAATGGAACAATCTCCGGTGGTTTGTATTGACAAAATCTTTCGATATAATCACATTAGTGTGTAAAACATAAGGGTTATGATATAACAATAACTAAAGGAAATATATGTGGAATCTGTAACGTCTGAAATTTAAAGCACACAGTCAATGCAGTGATGACAAATGGCAAATTGTATCTACCTGACCTCCAACTAGATTACTGACCCTTTATTTTGTAAATAACGTCAAATTACATACTGCTTACAAACCGCTCTCTGGTACGTTCAACTGATAAGTCCTATATAGGACCAAATACAATGCTTACCAATATTAAGAATAAAAAACGTTAAATCTTTTCCATTATCGCTGATTATTTTAGTACATAACCATTATATATGGTTGGAAAATAGTCAATACCTTATGTATTATAGCCTGGACTCGAGTACTTCCTCGAAATTTGAATCATTCAGTACATACAAAGAGTCATGGTATCAGGTAATGGAAGAAAGTGAAACGTTTCAAACTCTAGTTACAAAAGCTTTTTCAACTGCACTCTAAATATAACTAGTAGGTTCATAAAATCATGAAACTAGTCTGATTACAGGGATCGTTATTATAAGCTTTACGGAATCTTATTTAATTCTAAAAAGTAAAAATATGGTTACAGAATTCTTTATATAAAATATATTGGAATCGAAAGTCGGTAGACTGTGGATTAATTACAGTAGTTACTTCTTTAAAGTAGTGTTATATTTTGTCACTAAGCAAATCACAAGTACTTTCCAATTTGACCAGTCATTAAATTAAAACTAAAACAACGCCAGATATATGTAGTATTTACGAGATTTGGTTATTTTTATTCTTCTTCTTATTATTGTAATCTGTTTTCATTAAATTGTATTTAACCAGAAAATGAGACAAGTTTTGTTAGGAATGGATTTACAACAGTGTATGTATGGATAATTGGTCCACCAAGGTGATTGGTACCTGTGTGGCTGAGCCACAGGATTGAGCTGTACTATTCAGATTGTAGCGTTAAAGCCTATACGGTGTCTGGTTCCCCTGCTAAACGGGGTTGAGCTGTACTGTTTGGGTTGTCACGTGAAAGTCTGGATGGTGTCTGGTTCTCCTGAAAACCAATGTAAAATTACCCTGGCCCACAAGGGTATATTATATAACTGTGTATGGATAATGTCATGAATCATATCAAATCAGATGAGTTATTCGCTGCTTTTAGACTAAAGAAATAGAATGTTTCCTTTGATGGATTATTAACCACTACTGAATTACAGACTGAATAAATAAATAAATTTCTTTCCAGTTAGACAGGAAACTTATAACTTTTTTATTCACCAAACATGCACTAACATCGTTCAGAAGAACGATGAAAGCTCCGTGACCAAACCATCCAGCCCAGAGAACAAAACTCCACCAAAACCATCCACCTGAGTTACAAATCTTCTCCACCATAAGAATAATACTTGCTTTATACAAAACCATATATTTGATTGAAGTAGTAAATTGTCAGCAAGTAATATGAAATATTACAATAAATTCCAATTTTATAGGCACTTAATTTATGAAAATGAAAACAAATGTTCAAGATGTTTACAAGTAGCGATTAGCTACCATTAATAATCATCTGTAAATATCTGTAATCAGTCTTGTTCCCATGGTATCAAGTTTATTATTATTATTATTATTGCATTCCCCCTTTTACTTATGTCTTATATTCTCATTATTTTATTCGTAAATGCTTATCATATCACCTTATTTATTTCTACCCCTCTATGACCTTTAATTATCATAACAAAAACATTTTAATCATATTATATTTGTGGTATGTGCTGCTTATATTGATATAAGTAGTATATGAGAGAGAGTTTTACAAATACGATTTCCCATAGAGTGTCTTCAACACATTCAGTGTCAGACTATTGTGAAAATATTCAACCATATATGCATGAAAGTTCTGTTGAGATGTGATCCGGTTGAATTGACAGATTGACTATTTGTTTATTGATTGAGCGAATTATATACCCGCATTAAATTATTAATTAACAGCTAGTTAAATTCATTCCAATTTATTTAATGACCAAACATTTAAAGTGATAGGCGAAGATGGATAGTGGCTAGCAGTGGAACTCAGGACGCGCGTTTCGCCCTATTTGGGACTCGTCAGCTGGATGTATCTGCATTTAAAGTGAAATGTAATTTATGATTACCATGGTACATGTAATTTAATCAGTGATTGGTGGATAAATCAGTCTCCTTCTACACTTTTGTCTTACTTCTTGGGCCTGTATCACAGTCTCGTTCCGTTTCATTAAGTAACAGATAGTAGTAATGAGCATTTAGCTGAAGTCACACAATTGACATATCAGTCTTGTTTTAAATAACTACAGTGTTCAGGTAATCAAATCACCAAAGATTTAGTGTTAAAAAGAATAAACATAACTGATTTACGTAGTTGTGCATTTGATTCTTTTCCTTAAAACATTATAACAGTTTATTATTCGGACAAGTAAACATAGTTGTTCTTGGTGATGTTTGAGATAGATGTAGGGTAGAAAAACAAATAGTGACTTTCTTACTTGATAATTATCAAATAGGAAAGGTCTTCAGCTATCAATGTTCTTTCATAGAAATGTGGTTTCCTTAAAATGTGTATACTCTATGTTCTGTTTTCACTGAGTCATAGTGGTATTGTCAATTCATTTTCAAAGTCCCTAAAATCTTACAAAGACTCTGAAACTTATCTTAAATATCATTTAGATATCAAGATGTTCACATTCAATTATTGTAATATTCGCTAACATATCGAGTATTTCGTCTGATTTAAATATTGTATTCCTAAATCCTCCTAGAAGATACTGAAGTAACAGAGTTGTTTATGAAGAACTTGACGTATTATATAGTACTTATTTGAAATCTTTCGTATGTCATTCGAAGATAACAATATTCGTTCATTCTTTCAAGGATGTTTTCATTTTAACTAACTTTTATCTATCTTCATTGTTAATTTACTTGATGAAAGTATTCAGTCAGTTTGACGGTAATTTATATGCGGTCTAATTACAATCTTATTGAACTGAATTCTGTCGAAATTATGCTTTATTTAAAATGAATTACTTCAGTAGATATATGATGTATACCTAAGAGAGGAAGTTGTTTGTTCATTTCTTCTTCATATGAAACACTAATATGGCCTTGTAGATTGTCAAGTTTGCTCCATAAACGAATTGGACCCTCTGTATTATCAAAGATAACTAAGATATCATCCACATATCTCTTATATAAGCATTTATCTTCTATTAGGGCTTGAGCTAGATTTTCGACATATCTCGTAAACGCTTCAGCTAATAATGCTCATAAAGAAATACCCATAGCAAGCCTATCATTTTGGTGACAGTAATTCCCTTCGGTGAGTAATGATAACAAATCTTTGTGAGATGTTTTTTTACTGCCTATTAGTTTTAAATCTCATTGTATGCATTATGAACTTATTAAACTAACGCTGGTTACTACTAATTGATTCTAGCTGTTTTAAACGAAACCAAGTTTAATATTTGAGGTGGGTATTTCGACGGTTAAATTATAATGTAGGAATAAGCCAATGGGAATCAAGAATACTACTTGTAAATGTTTGTACGAAATTGAAACATAAATCGGTATTCTGATTATGCAAGAATACTAACACAGATAATGAGTAATATAATGTAATATATCTCCGTACCAAAATGAGGACAACCCTGGTGGTAATAAGACTCGATTTCCCCAATGCTTCAACAGAACTGTCTGTGGAATTGTCGAGGGAAATTCAGAAACACATCTACAATCGGATCAATTGG